TCACCGGACCCGAAACGTTGACTCTGATTTTTTCTTCACAGATGCTGCCAGACCTGCTGAGCTTTTCCAGCAACTTTGTTTTTATTCATATTAAATTTATGAGTCCTTTCAAGAGTTAATCAGCATGGTGGTTGCTATATTTCAGTGAGGATTATATTTTGGTTTCTCATGGGTACCAAAACTGAATATATTATGTAAGTACATTGTAGTTTGAATGAAGTAATCTGCATAAGTCCACATTATCCAAAGATTTACATCATGTCCCTTTTATCTTTACTCCATTGCGAGCAATGTAGAAGTGTTTGGTGACTTCCAGAGTTATCCAACATTTTCTGTGATCTACGTGGGGTGGTGTGACACACGTTGAAGGTTGTTTTACAAGCATTTGCTGTCAGACATGGATGTACTAGTTGAATCCCCCTTAGACTACAGTACGATGATGAAAATGAGCAGAGGTGACAAAGAAGATGAGCAACTGGAATGGGGAGAATGATGAAGGTTATGGAGAAGATTTCTTTTTTAGTAACATCCAACACCTGCCCCAGCCAAAATTCATCTCCTCCTTTAAGTGATACAGACCAGCTTTAGGTCGTGGTAGTACAATACAACTTTTGCTCCCTGCTGGCATATGGCTCTTCAGCATAATGCTTTGCATTGTTTGCATGCTGCAATCACTTTAAACGAACAGGCGGCAGGACATTGCATGCTTACCAGATGTAATTAATCACCCATCATGACGCTTGCGCCTTTTTTTCTGGTGTTATAAAGTTTTGTAGCTCTACTCGTTAGCCTTTAGGCCTACATTCTGTGATAACCTCAACTTGCTCAAAGCAAGTGTCTTATTTTGCACTGAACTCTAATAATAATGAACTATTAACTTGTCCCTCTCCCAGCTTCAGTTGACTCTCCTTTCCCTCATTGCTTTCCTTTTTCACTATTTATGAAAATTAACTTTGTTACTTAAAGTTATTGATTCTCTTTTAATTTGCAGCAAACTGAAATTATATGCACACTTCATGAACCAAGATGAGACCTTTTTACAATGATACAACTTATTAATGTCTTCCTTATGTTAGAGACAAGTAGTTATTTTTATATAAAATCATTTAACGCAAACATTTCAAGTATGAATAATGAAATCCTTAATTATTAGCAGTCAAAGCTGCCCAGTACTTGGTTTTTGTACTCTTGTGGTGGCTTTGCAATGCAATTTAGCTTGCATTTTATGCCAGCTTAATGTATTTATACTGTTTTCATTTTGAAAATTAAGCCATTCGATATGCAATGATTCACATTTGTGTGTGTGGAAATATGCCATTTTGAATGTTGAAATATTTGGCATTCTTCAGAGGTGATTGTGGTGTTGTGGTTATTGGCACTTGTACGTTGTATTCCAAAATTGCTAAAATGGTCTTATTTTACTAGGAAAAAGTTCTTCTGTGGCTTCTACAATATATGCAGGAACAAGGAATATCTTTGGATGAAGTTGATCAGTATGGAAACACTGCAGCTCATGTTGCTACCCAACATGGTCACCTGAGCTGCCTTCAGGTATAGATCACTGATTTACGATAAAAATAGTTTTCACAGACTTTGAGAAAGATGCACACATTTTTCATCTGTTATTTTGTTTACGTGTAGCTTCCAGTTAGAATTTAAGTAGGTGTTGTGGTATAAGTTTGAACGCAGTCCTCCCACCTTCAGATCTTGGATTTCAATCACCCAGATTAATAACATGAAAATTTTTTCTTTTTGCCAGTTATAAGTGCCCTGCATGAAATGTTTTGTCTTTGTGTAGTCAGGAGGAACCCTCACCCTTGGTTCACACTCTGCGTGGGAGCTGTATGTTTTCCTGCCTTCCCACGATTGATTAACTACAGCAAGCTGTCTGAATTCACCAGTGGCATGTAAATGAGGCCTGTGCTTCTAAATGGCTCGGGCCTCAGGACAGCAATGATAGATGGGCCGATAAATGTACTCAGCACAGAGAACACCCATTAGCCACCTATAGTTAAAATTTACACTCTCGTGCTCAAATTGGACAACCTGACAGAGAGATCTAATTACCACAGTATGTAAGAGTTCAGTGCACTATCAAAAAACATGATCTCCAGGTATATTTCTGCTAGTTTTATAATTAGTATTTTTGTAGTTATTTATTTAGTATCAAAATAAAAAGGACCAGAAATGAACAGAGTCCAAACTTTGAAAATCACGTTTAATCTGTGTATCCACATTTTTAAATGTGATTTCTCAATTGTATTTAATGTGCTGAAATGATTAAGTCCAATAAATTCAAATGATTTTTTTTATTCCTTCCTAATTTTTTTTTCTGTCTTTCTTCAGAATGTTGATCCCAGACAGTGCTGAAATGACTGTTAGTTTTCTTAGTAGGATTTGTTTATTCTACTTTTGATTTATAATTACATATGTTTCCTTAGACCTTAGTCGAATATGGAGCAAATGTGACAATACAGAATCAGGATGGAGAGAAGCCTTCCCAGAGTGCAGAGCGACATGGACATACCACTTGTTCACGTTACCTTGTGGTTGTGGAAACCTGTATGTCTCTAGCATCACAAGTGGTGAAATTAACAAAACAACTAAAAGAGTAAGTGACAGTGCTGCAAAAATGATAAAAGTAGAAGCAAAATAGGAAGTGTTGAAGTATTGAGGAGCATAGTAAATGACATAACAAGTTCTGATGAAAAGTGATCAACCTGAAACAATAATTCTTATTAATAGCTTTACATCTATAAATATAGAAGTTGTTTCTTTTAGGTAAACAATTAAAAGTGCAGTATTTCAAGTTAATCAGTGTTACGGCAGGATATACATTCAACAGTAAAAAATGGCATCTTCAATTTAGAACAAAAACAAAAAAATACTGCAAAGCCAACTGATTTGGATTTTCCTAATTTTTTCTATTTTTATTTCAGCTCTCCTGCTCCTGCAGTACTTCTGCTTACTCTGAATTTACAGCTGCTTTGAAACGTACCTAAGATTTTGAGTAGCCTTAGAGCTATATAGTCATCCTAGTTTCTTTTAATTCAATGTTATAGTTTTTAAATGTATATAGTAGTTGTTTCTATTTCACTGCAGCAAACTTACTGGTAGAAAATATCAATAAAATCAACTGTCTATGATATATATAAAACATTATCTATTGTTTATGTTTTGATCGGCATGTGTATTGTTGCATGTTATTTGTGGGTGGATAACATTAAGTTAGTATCTAACATTGTAAATATACCAACCCTTTGTTTCTTGGGTTGCATGGTAAAATTTGTCATTCAAACAGTAGCCCTAGATGTTCAGTTTTATATTTTAATTTAGCTTCCATATACATCTTACACTAAAATAAAAGCAAAATACTACAAATGCTGGAACTGTGAAATAAAACCAAAGTCCTGGAGAAACAAAGCAAGTCTCTTCCCCTCCCTTCCCTTCCCTCACTTCATCTGTAATTTTCTGGAGATATACTAGCCACTAAATATCCATTACAAGTACATTAATACCCCCACTTACCCTGACGACACGGTGCTCCCTGTAAGGACTCCAATTCTCCATATTTTGTGCATTTTCTGCAGGCTGCCTCCAACATGTCGTTCATTTTCCTCAACTAAGAGTTCACCCAACCCCTCCACCCGTGGCTAACAGGGCCCTCAGCTATGTCCAGTCCATTTCACGCGTTTCTGCCCTCACCTTTCCTGTTCCTCTAGAACAACGACAGGGTTTTCCCTGTATTCATGTTCTACCCCACTAGCCTCTGCATTCAAAGCATTATCACCCCTCATTACTGTCACCTCCAGCAGGATGCAACCACCAAACACATTCTCCCCTCCCTTCCTTTATCGGCATTCCATAGGGACCGTTTCCTCTGTGACACCCTGGTCCACTACTCCACCATTCCTAACACTTCCTTACACACACATTGTGGCACCTTTCCATGCAATAACTTGCAGTATATGTGACACTTGCCATTTAAACAGCCCCATCCTTACTGTCCAAGGCTCCAAACATACCTTCTAGTGAAGCAGGGATTTACTTGTATTTTCTTTGTTCTAGTTTGCTGTATTTGCAGCTCACAGTGCAAATTCCTCCACTTTAATGAGGCAAAACACAGACTGGGGAATGATTTTGTGGGTCATCCCTGTTGTGTCTGTAAGAATATAACCACTTTCCAATTACTTGATATTTGTATATAATATCTTGCCGTCATACTAACATTTAAGTTCTAGGCCTGCTGCAGTGTTCCACTGAAGTTCAATGCAAGCTGGACAAACAGCACTTCATTTTCCATGGAGGCACTTTATAGCCTTTGGGACACAACATTAAATTAAAATACTTCAGATTGTGAACACTCCCTCCATTTTGATTATAATCTCTCCCCACCAACAAAAAGGTTAGCATGAGGTTGCTCTCGACAAAGCCAACCTATTTTTGACTATTCACACTCTACATTAGCGCCTATTTTGTGTCTGTATCATTCCTCCACAGTTAGCATACCCTTTGTCTCTTGCTTTAGGTTTCCTCACCATTTGTCACACATACACCTCCTCTCCCTTTTCAACAGCAAAAAAGTTATCTTTTTCTTCTACTTTCAGTTCTGAAGAGTCGTATCACACATGAAATGTTAACTTTATTTCTCTCTCAACAGGTGTTGACAGACCTGCTGAATTTCTCCAGCACTTTGTTTTTTTAATTATACAGTATCTTAACATTGTATTATAGCTAACACATTTTGATGTGTTAATATTTTTATGAGAATAATGATAACTTACTGGACTTGGATATTGCCAATAATATTGCCAAGTTATTTTAAAGCAGAGATGTCCTCCAGAGGTTTTTACTCAGATTCATCAGTATGGAAGATCTGTTTAGCTCCTGGGGGAGGTAGTCATTTCATTATATTTTATTTGGAGTTCTTGCACTTCATTGCAGGCTTTTCTAATGTGGTAGCCAATATACATACATTTGTATATGGTAGACCATACATACAGAAATCCTGAACATTACAATGCTAGATGTGAACATGTTTGCCACTTTTACCAGATGTATACTGAACTTCCATATACTTTTTAACAACTCAGCAATGTGGGCCAGAAATCCATCTGGGAATATAAACTTTTCAAATGCAGTTCAGTATTGATTGTAGTGCCAAGGATCTTGCATTATTTGTACATTGTTCACTATAAACATAATTCTTTGTTCAAATAATTAAGTGTAACTAAATAACAAAGACACAGTCCTACACGTTTATATGTCTGTCTGTCTTCATAGACAAACAGCAAAGCAGATCAGCTTGCAAAATCAACTTCAGCATTTCCTACAAGACCAGATGACAGAAGGAGCTGAACCCCAATCTCCTAGGTACAAATATATGTTCATATATAAGATTGCTATTTCGTTTTTTTAAAATCCAAAGTTTGTGTTTATCAAAAGATCCTGAATATTTAAATACTGCAATATAAGCAACACCTGAATTTAATAACAGAATTAGTAATTCAAATTCAACTGAATCTCCCATTGTACTTAAAGTCAAATGTCTTGACACTTATGGATTTATAGATAGTGAACAATGTGACACCATCCTGCTCCTCCAAATTTGTTGATGTTAAATCTTAGGTACTCCAGTAGCCCCTGGTGTATTTAAATAAACAATATCGGTGTCAATTTAGTCTTGTTCCTTCAGGTACAAAAGGGTAAATTCCTATTTCTATTGTAATTTTTACCCAGGAGTAAGATGACTCATTTTCATCTAACCACTTTCAAATGGCAGAAACTTGACTTCATAATCAGTCTGTCACCCTGTAGTTGTTATCCTGTAAAGTTAAACAAATCACTAGGCTGAAAAGAGCTGAAGGAAGTATCGCCTACAGTTCCACAATAACATATCTTTAAAAATAATGTAAATTGTAGATTATTTGCAATAGCTAGTGGAGTAGGAGGGGGAAAATCCGTTTGGTTGCTCAATCCTGATTGCAGATGCTGCCTGACCTGTTGAATGTTTACAGTGTGTTTTGTTTTGTTCCTAACATTTTCCATGTGATTTTCCTAACCAAAACCAAAACTTTATTCTATTGATCCATCATAGGCATTACAGATTTTAAATAAATTCAAAAGGAAGTATGCTGTTTATTCCCAGTCTTCCTCATAATCATACCATAACTTCAGGTGTAGATTTAAAATGATACAGGGAGCATAGACATTATCAAAACACAACACTGTATACGAGTAAAATTTATTATTTTGGCTGTTTTATAAAAGGAATTTCACAATAAAGTTGTAAACAGTTTGTAAACGTTTGGGCAGCTGTAAGAGATTTCTCAATTCAACTTGAGATTTCTCAAGCAGCATTTGCAATGTCTGAAAGGAAATGTTAAGAGATAGCTGAACATGAAAGGAAAGGCAATTACCTGAAGATTCACTCTGCTAATAAGTAAGGAAGAAGCCCTGGGTCCAAAGGGATAGGTAAGGGATTTAAAAAGTTCTGGTGACTCTTTTCACTTCTCAAACACTCTGTATCAGTAGTCGTCCCAGCACTGCCAATCCCAATTTACGTAATTTTTTTCAGGTCCTTGCTAGCCTTTCTATTCACAGGCATTTAAGAAGGTGTTTACCAGCAATAATGAGAGATGTTGCAAGCTTTGTGTGTGCAAGTTTAATGATGTTTCAGTTGGTGCCTGCCACCCCAGCACATATTGGGATCTTGTCATTGCATTATCGATTCATAAATATTGATAGACTATTCATCGATGAATGGTGTGATGTGGTGGGTGGGAGGTAGAAAGAAATCAAAGTTAAGCCAAAACATGTTCTTGCCTGATATTCGTATTCACCCATTTTCCAGAAGGTATAACTGGATATCAATAGTAGTAGATAACACTGGCTTAATATCCTTCTGTTGTCCAGTATCGAAGTCCTTTACTCATCTTTGCAAATTAAGTGATTTGGATAACAAGGTGTAGAGCTGGATGAACACAGCAGGCCAAGCAGCACCAGAGGAGCAGGAAAGCTGACATTTCAGGTCAGGACCCTTCTTCAGAAATGGGGGAGGGGAAGGGGATTCTGAAATAAATAGAGAGAGAGGGGGAGGCGGATGGAAGATGGATAAAGGAGCAGATAGGTGGAGAGGAGACGGACAGGTCGAGGAGGCAGGGATGGAGCCAGTAAAGGTGAGTGTAGGTAGGGAGTTGGGACGGGGGTTGGTCAGTCAAGGTAAGACGGACAGGTCAAGGAGGCGAGGATGAGGCTGGTAGGTAGGAGGTGGGGGTGGGGGTTGAGGTGGGAGCAGCGGATAGGTGGGAGAAAAGACGGACAGGTCAGGGAGGCAGGCATGAGCTGGATGGTTTTGGGATGAGGTCGGGGGCGGGGAGATTTTGAAGCTTGTTATTCATTGATACCATTGGGCTGCAGGGTTCCCAAGCGAAATATGAGGTGCTGTTCCTGCAACCTTCAGGTGGCATCATTGTGGCACTGGAGGATAGTTTTCTTTCCTCTTTTCGTTTTCTGCCTTATTTCTTCTGATTTTGCCCTTTCTTCATTGCTACTCCACATTTTTCTCCCTCTTTAACAATTTGCAATCTGACCTAGCCTTTGGGGATAGAATCAGGGCACTTACCTGTGCAATTATGTAATAAGATAAGCCCAAGCATTGGAGGTAGTATATTAGCATGGATAAAGGATCAGCTAACAAATAGAAGACAGAAAATTGTGTAAGGGGGGCATTCACGATGGTACCCTGTAATTAGTAGTGTGCCACAGGGATCAGTGCTGGGGCCACAATTATTTACAATATATATTAATGATTTGATTGAGGAAAGTAAATATACTGTAGCCAAATTTGCAACTGCCATAAAAATAAGTGGAAAGGCAGGTGCTGAGGATGACATAGAGTCTGCAGTGAGATGTAGACAGATTAAGCACATAGGCAAAAACTTGGCAGATGGACTATAATGTAGAAAAAATTGATGTTATGCATTTGGCAGGAAGAATAGAGGAGCTGAATATAATTTAATTGCAAATAGACTGCAGTAAACTATGGAGCAGAGAGATTAGGGAGTCATCGTACATGAATCACGAAAAGCTAGTACCCAAGTGCAGTGGTGTAATAGGGAAGGCAAGTGGAATGTTGGCCTTAAACGGAGTATAAATGTAGGTAGGTTTTGCTGAAACATTACAAGGCACTAGTCAGACCACAGCTGGAATTCTGCAAACAGTTTTTGGGCCTGTTGACCAAGGAAAGATATACTGGCATTGGAGGCAGTCCAATGAAGGGTCACTAAGCTGATACCAGATAAATAGAGATTGTCTTTTGACGAGACATTGTGTAGGTTGGGCCTGCACCTTTTGGAATGTAGAAGAATCAGAGGCGACTTTATTGAAACATACAAAATTCTTAAGGAGCTTGGCAGGGTGGATGCCGATATGTTGTTTCCCTTTGTGGGACAGCGTAGGACCAGAGGCCATAATCTCAGAGTAAGGGGTCATCTATTAAAAAAAAAACAAAAGAACTGCGGATGCTGTAAATCAGAGACAAAAGTAGAAATTGCAGGAACACCTCAGCATGTCTGGCAGCATTTGTGGACAGAAATCAGAGTTAATGTTTCAGGTCGAGTGACCCTTCCACAGAACTGTTCTGAGGAAGGGTCACTCGACCCAAAACGTTAACTCCGATTTCTCTCAACAGATGCTGCCAGACCTGCTAAGCTGTTCCAGCAATTTATATTTTTGTCATCTATTTATGATGGAGATGAGGAGGAATTTCTTCTATTATACAGTAGTGAGTCTGAGGAGTTCTTAACTGCAGATATCAGTTGAGGATGGTCATTAAGTATATTTGAGGCCAGGTTAGACAAATTTTTAATCGGAAAGAGAATCAAAGCTTATAAGGTACAATAACTGCACAAAGGCTGGTATCCTGTCACCAAGTCACGCTTTATCTACATGTGCATAATACACTGGCTATCACCAGCTAGGTTGGGGTCAGTCCCTCAACTGAGGTCAGCCAGGGCACCCTGATTGGCCCAATTTAACATCTCCAATCAAGCATCTCACAGTCAACAAGATACACCTGGTTCCAATCACTAAATAAGGAAAAGGCAGAAAAGTGGAGTTTATAATTTTCAGATCAGCCTTGATTCCATAATTTTTAATAACCTCAGAATGTCCCAAAGCAGTTTGCAAACTGTTAAGTATTTTTAAAGTATAACAAAATGTCATAGCCAATTTGCACATAGTTCACCGCAAACTAAGCTTGCTATTCAAATTAGTCTTGTTGGTTGAAGGACCACCATTGGCAGGGACACTACGAGAATTCCACTAGTGCCATGGGATATTTTATGTTCACTTAGGAGGTACCACGATTAAATGCCTCATCTTGAAAAACTGTGCCTGCGCAGCATTCCACCATATTGCTGTGAAGTGTCACTGATGTTGACGTACTCAACTCTACATTGAGGCTTGAATACACGATCTTCTCACCTTACCGCTCATTCACTATTGAAATCTAAATGCAGAAAAAACATAACAAAGTTGATTTTAAGTTTCCAAATTTTTGCATAAGTAAGATTTCCATATCATGTATGTACTAAATAATTTTAGAATTGCAAATGATGTGTATGGGCTCTTTTGCATAAGTGATTACTGCAGCATACAGCTTTACCACATGAACTGGGTAAATCATAACTTTGGTTGCCTTTTTATGTTGGATTTACTGATCTCCTTGGGGCAGTGGTGGAGCAAAAAACATCAGCCTCTGCCACCTGGATGAAAAAGGTTGATCAATCTAATGCCTGCAATGCAGTGCTGTAGACTCTAAATGAGCTCAGGTTGTGGTGAAAATGATAGGTGTCATTAAAAGGCCGTGGTGCCATGAAATTAATTTTAAAATGCAAAATAAACCTTTATTTCTAAATAGGAGCACTGGTAAAACTATTTCTGAGGCAAAACTCCTTTTAAGCTCCAGATAAGTATCCAATCAATCAAAACCCAGTTATGTTTTTCAAAAGACACTTTTTATAAACATCTAGCTTGCCTATTTGGACCCTTGACTCCTTTATCAATAAGAGTTGTACTATAATGCACTCATTTTCAGTGGAACAAATTAATGATCTGGTGTATCCCAGCTGTAATGCACTTACATTACATCCAAGCTGAAAACTTAATAAACTAATTTCCAAGTAAATAGAGAGCTACCTTTGGACTCAACCACGTTAATTTCTAACTGTAAGGCATGCTTCATCAGCTTTCTTCCATTGGCTTCACATCTTTTTCTTATATTCCTGTATCTTCTGACCACATAGAAATTGCTGTTCTAAGTTATGTATCAGTATCCTAGATCAAATCTACTTTTTAAAAAACAGTTACATTTTTAGAAGCCTTTTTAGTTTGAACTGTTCCTTGGTATGCAAGGTATTTACCATATCACTAATACTGTTGGGAAACATAAATCCAAAGATAGCTTAAAGAAATTGACCTGTATTTGAAAAGACAGCGTGCTGTGTTCTAAATGAATTGCTCAACCAGATTAATGAGACTGGGACTTTCTTGCAACTTTCCAACTACCGTGCTTTATTGCTAAATCTGTACAAATAACTGAATGCAGTTTTGAGTGGTACGACAATTATACTCTATAACCAAGGGAGTTGGGGAACATGAATAAAATGAAAAATTAAACCATTTGTTATTGTTTGGATGGGAGGCTGGGACTATATAGGGCAATTGATTTTCTATAATAAACACTCTTGCTGCTCTGATATTATCTCACCGAGACTATAAGTCACACTTCTTTTGATGTTCTTCATATCCTCCCCATTTTGTCGGTTTCCCAGGAATTCTCTTAAAAAAATCACCAAGCAAACAGGTGGAAAATAGCATTGAAAACTGTCTCAACTTGTGAATATCTGTGAGAAATAGACTTTGGCAGGTTTTTTATATTAGTGCTGCAATTTAAAAGAAAGTCTTTAGCATTTTATAAATGAAATTAGGTTAAACTTGGTTCAACATAGCAGTTGAAAATGTTTTTGGAAATGTACAGTTAACGCAGAGAACTAATCATTAATTCATCCTTATATATGTTGTGTTGTGTTTTTGTTTTTTTTCTACAACAACCAGTTCCTCTGTACCATCCGAAAATGATAAGAAAACTCATTCATCCTGTGGTCAAAGGATGCCTGGCATAAGTACAAACGGGAATGCAGCTACTTACAACAGTGAAACAAAATCAAAGGTTACCAAAAAGGGGGTACTGAAACAGAAAGGTGAAGAAGCAGACAAAATTCTGCGTCAGCTCTTGGGCGAAGAAATTTCTGGAAATGTGTGCACACAGGAAAAACTTTCTTTGGAGTTTCAAGATCAGCAGGAGGCAAGTGTTGTAACAGGGTCTGCAAGGAAAGTTCTGAGAAATAAAAGGGAACTGAAATTGACCAGACTGAGATATTCTCAGAGATCCTCCAGTGAGTCAGACACTGACTCCTATATCAGTGAAGATCAGAAGAACTCTCCCATTAGAAGAGCTGACAAACCACGACCAGAGCCCATTGTTGAAAAAGATGAATACACTGCAAAAGTCCACTTCATGATTAAAAAGCATGCCTCAGCAGTTGGGAGAATGTTTCCCTTTTCCCTTAAAGCCTCTGGTTCATCAGATGAACAGAGTCATTCTCCTATTGCTGAAAGCAATGATAATGTACCTGACTCTCAGCATCAGATAAGAAGTCCAGTCAGGACCCAGTCTGCTGAAGAATCAGTTCTGCCTTGTGCTGACAATACTACCACACAAAAAACCACAAACAGTCCTAAAAGTGCTCTGAAGTCACCATCTTCAAAGAGTAGAACGTCTCAGAATTTAAAACTTAGAGTGACTTTTGAGGAGCCTGTTGTGGAAATTGAACAGACAGTTCCTGAATTAGATAACAGGAAGGGCACAGAAAGTGAAGGAACGTTACCAAGGTCGGCACCTAGTTTAGAAATGGGTGAACCATTGAACAGATACATGGGACAGTTTCACTCACCAGTGGAATCTATAAACAGTAACCAGAACAACAATAATTCACAAGCTACCCATTTAAACATGACATCCACCCCTAATTTACCACTGAATTCCACAGGAAGGAAATCAGGAGGGTCAAAAGCAAGTTGTGTAACTCCCACAAAAGTTAATGCCAAGACACTGAGTGTGTTAAAATCCACCAAATAATCCATTGTTTTAATTTTTTGAAACTTACTAAAACTCTAAACTAACATTTCAAAAATTCAAAATAGTACCAAATTTTATTATATGTACATTTGTATAGAAGAAACCTAGCTGAATAAATTTTAAAATATTTTGACCATTCTTTCTACCTGTTTTTTTAAAAGATCCTAATGTAAACTCAAATGATATAGATAATAGTTTTTAAAGCACTTACAAACATGCTGTGATTGTTTCTGCATTATTAATATTCAGGTACTTTATATAAATGACGAATTGTTATAAGATTGATGTTCCATTTTAAATCATTTGCCTCAATTAAAATTAGATACATTAGAAAATCTGTATTACTTTTCTTCCTCCTTTGTGCCCATTTTCTTTACTACTTTCGTGGCATTAGTACTTTGGCCAAGTCAACATTCTTTATGTACAAGGCTAAAGAGTGCATGTCTGCAAATTAAAATGGGGACATTCATGCTGACTGTCATCCTATCCTTACTCACATCTAGTTCCTGGATAGCAACTGTGATGAGGAACTGAATTTTGGTCCTTCATGTGCCTAACGTGGTGATTCTGATAAAAATTATTGAGTACAATTACACCCTGGCTAGTATCAAAATGGGATATATGGGTCAACCATTCAGTGCCTTAACCTTTGAACAAATTCAGAAAGGACGGGTTTTAAGGAACTACTAGAGAGGTGGTTTAGGAAATAGTTTGTTTTGTATTTCTAGGTTTACATTTAAATACCCCTGCCATTCTGCTGCTCCTGTGCCAATTCCTTGATTATGTACAGATTTATTTTCTGAAGATATAGGTATCTTCAGTAAAATTCAATTCCTTTGACATAAGTCACCAGAGCAGAATTGCTTATTTTTGATACCAATTTGTACTGAAAAAGAGTTCCACCTCAGTAGGATTCAAGGTGTTTTCAGGAAAAGAACTTCAGCAGAGAGTAGATGATGGTGTTCCTAAGTGGAAAAAGTGGAAATGTTTGCCATTTCCCTGACAGTGACATCCTCAAATTAAAGAGCACAAATTTATTCCTACTTTTAAAATATGTTCCAATCATTAATTGGGCTTAGTTGTATTGCAACACAACCCAGTTTCTGCAAACTTCTCCTTAGCCTCTTCTCATGTAAATTTACCACCCTCCTCTCAACTTTCAATTTAAGTCTTCAGATAAACTCTTTTTGAACCATATCTTTGGTATGCCTGTTGACCTCGCCATGTGTTGTAGCCTCTCTTCACCCACGATCTCAGACTATGACAATACTATTTAGGACTACATCATCATTTCCCTAACTGGCCACCTACATTCCTTCACTAGCTGACAACAAAAAGAAAACTCTCTCACAGGATCCTTACAACTTGGTGCACAAATTTGATCTGTCACTTGCCATAATCCTCTGCTACTGTTGGATTGCTCAACTATGCTCTTTTTTTGTATCTTTGCCCTAACCAGCAACAAAACTATCCCTGTTTGTATATTATGGCATTCTGCTTGATACAGCATCGACTTATCTAATCCACTCGGGGTGGAGGGTTCAATTGAAGGGAAGCTGTTGTTTAGAAAATGCTGGAGTCCATTATTAGGGAAGAAATAGCAGGGCATTGAGAACAACTTAATGTAATCAAGCAAAAAGAACATGGTTTTGTGAAAAGGAAATCACTTTTGGCATTTTAAGAGCTCTTTGAGGATATAATGAGCAGAGTAAATAAAGGAAAACCAGTAGGGATTTTCGAACGGCATTCAATAAGGTGTTACATAAAAGGCTATTGGGAGTGATGTATTAGCATGGATTGAGAATTCATTAACTCACATAAAACAGAGTCTGGATCAATAGGTCGTTTCCAGATTGGAAAGACCTAACTAGTGGGGTATGACAAGAATCGCTATGTCCGCAATTATGAACTATCTGTAATAATGACTTGAAGAGGGGGCAGAGTGGAATGTATCCAAATTTGGCAATGATACAAAAAGAGTGGGAGGACATGCTGCAACAAGGACATAAGAAATTTATTGCTATGGAGTGAGAGTTAAAAACAGGAAAATCTTGTTACAACTGCACAGGGTATTGGTGAGGCCACATCTGCTACTGTGTACATTTTTGGTCCCTGTATTTAACAAGATATACTGGTGTTGGATGCTGTTCAAAAGAGATTTAGTAGGCTGATTTGTGGGATGAAGGGGTTGACTTAGGGGATTACAAATGACCAGAAACTGAACTGGACTAGCCATATAAATGCAAAGGTTTCACAACAGGTCTGAGGCTAGAAATAGTGCAATGAGAAACTCACTTCTTCACTTCTCACTTGCCTGGATAAGTGTGGCTCCAACAATGCGCAAGAAACTTGACACCATCCAAGACAAAGCAGTCTGCTTGATTTGCACCCACTCCCTCCTTCACTGATGCTCAATAGCAGCAGTGTGTACCACCTACAAGATGCACTGCAGAAATTCACCAGAGATCCTTAGACATTATCTTCCGAGCCTATGGCTATTTGCACCTAGAAGAATAGGGGCAACAGATACCTGGAAGCACCACTACCTGCAAGTTCCCTCTGAGCCACTCACAATCCTGACTTGGAAATATATCACCGTTCCTTCAGTTGCATTGGCAGTCTCTCACTATCGGCATTGTTGGTGTACCCAAACCGTATGGACTGCAGCTGTTCAAGGAGGGAGCTCACCTCCACCTTCTCTAGTGCAACTAGAGTTGGACAATAAATGCTACCTGAGCCAGTCTTGCCCTTATCCCACAAGTGGATTTAAGAAAAAGCTAAACAAGTTATCCCCGCACTCTGTTCCTCACCACCCTCTCTTCCACCACCTGCGCACTGTTTCCCCAACATTCCTCCTCCTTTCGCCCTTTGTGTCTCATTCCCCTCTCAACTATCCTTCCTCCTCTCCTGCCTCTCTTCCTCTGCACTCTTCTTTCCCGCAGTATCTTTCTCCCACTCTCTTCTCCCCTCCCACTCTCTCTTTACTCTCCCTCCCTATCTCCTCCTATACTCTCCCTTCCCGCTTTCTCTCTCTTCCAATACTTTCTCTTTCCTCTCTTCTTACTTTCTTGCACTCTTTCCTCCTGCCACGACTCTTTTTCCCTCAACGATGTGTTTTGTTCCCCTGTTCTACCTCCTTCTTCCTGCCCTCAATCCATTACTTTATGCTGCCATTGTCCCCTCAACAGCAAGTATGAGGACCTTTTCAATATACTTGTTACCAAGATTGCTTCTCTCTGCTTCAACCTATGATCAGCTTATCCTCAAATTCCCACATTGTATCCCTCTATCCTCTCCAATTACCATGCATTTCCAACTTGTTTTTCCTCAATGCCTTTCGATTTATTAGCCTACACTGTACTTGTCCCAGCTTGGTGAACACACCAACATTTACAAGCAGCAGCCAAGCTACAAATCTTCACTCAAACCCTGAACTATACCTGTCTCTCCTGTAGCTTTCTATTCAAATCCCTCCAATTTGGTTTGCACCCACTTACATCGGCTTCTTCAAAGTTTTAAATGAGATCCTCTGTGACCATGTTCCTTCACTGCTTCTTGGTGTCTCTAAGTATTCACATTTGTGGCTCTGCTTGCTTAAGGTTACTTCTTTGTTTATGCAGGCATAACCACTAATTTCCCAGCAATTGACTTTTTTTCCCATTTTTTTTCTTACATGCCACACACAGAGTACCTCAGATTCGTTTGCTAGGCTCCACCACCAATATTGTAATGTGTTGCCTCTTGATGATCTCATCCAGAAGCATTGGAGCTGCTTTCAAATGTATGCTAATGACATTATGCTTTACTTCTCCACCATTTCCCTGGAATATTCAAATGCCTCATTGTTGTCACACTCTGAATCAATTAAAATTGCTTCAGGATCAACATTGGGATGATCATAGCTATCACCCTAGGCCCCACCACAAACTCCATTCTCTTATCACAATCCCCATCCCATTCATTACCAATACTTTAAGCTGAGCTTAATTGTTTGTGACTTCGGACTGTTCAGCCATGAGCACTATTTCAGAATCCACATATGTTTGCTTACAGGTAAATTACTTCCATCTCTGCTCTTAGTATAATTCCTTTGATGTTAAAATGCTCATGCATGCCTTTGCATTCCCTACATTTGAATACCATGGCGCATTCCTTGTTTGGTGTCATAGCTTTTCACCCTTGCCTTTTCTGACTAACATTGGTTCACTGTGTCTAAAAATGTTTTCAACAACTCTATAAGGTCTGATTCCATATTCTAACTTTGTATTCTCCGCCTGCTTTATATAACCATATGTACTTTTACAACTGGCTTTTTGTGCATTTCCCTTCGTCCAACATTGATGCTGAACCTTCAGCTGCCCAGGTCATACTCTGTGGGATTCCTTCCCTAAATCTTTCTGTATTTCATTCTCACACTTGTTACTTACTAACCTCATCTAAACAGAATTCTTTGATTTGGCTTTTGGTTAGTTGTCACTTTCCTAAATTCAACATCAAGTTTTTTTCTCTTATGCATTAAGCAAGGACATTCTTTAAACTAAAGGTTATAGATAAATTTTGTTGCACACAAAAGTTTTAATTTTTGTTTTTATTTGTAAATTTATGAAAATTCAGTTAATGAGCTTTGATGACTACATAAGACAATTGTTTTATGATACTTGTCCGTGAAGGAATATTTTTGAAACTTCACACTAATATGTTTTCTCTACTTTAAAGTTGATTTCATTTCTGTCATGAAAATGTTCTTGTAGCATATTTGAAATTACGTGAAAGTTTGTTTTCTTTGGATTTATCATTTAATGCAGAAACAACATCAAATGTTCACTATCTCTTCAGAATGCTTTTTTTTTAGTTGAAATGTCTTCCACATGATTTGGGTAATATTGGCTATGTTTGAAGTATTATTTTGCTTATTTGGAATTTGAATTTAAATCCTGTTAAAACTTTGATTTGCACTTGTTTAGTTTTGTTTTTCTTTAGAATCCCATGGCACTATGTTTATGTAGATAAAACTGTAATGAAATCCTAAATATTGGTTTAAAAGCCTCCTGTTAAAGCAAATGCTCTGGAAGTTAACACTGGATAATGAGGTATTTTCTTGAGTCTGTATCATTTATAACAATTAGAAGTCAAATGTATGCCTCTTTTTTTGGAAAAAAGTCTTTCTTCAGGTTTTTTTTGTATAAAACTTCAGTCATCAAGGATGGCAT